CCCGCCGCGCCCCGGCCCGGGCAGGGCAGCGCTCCCGCGGCCACCGCGCCGAGGGGCTTCCGCTGGGCGCCCGGCTCCGGCGGGGCCTGGCCGCCTCTCGGGACAGGTGTGCCCGGCGGAGCCGCGGGCGGGGAGATGAAGGGAGTACGCCGGGCTGGAGCCCGCTTGCGTTCAATGATTCGGACTTTGCCCACTCCCCCGCCCCCCCCGCAGCCTCGATTGTTTAGGTGATAAATCCGGCCACAAAGGCGTCTATATGGCTTGATTGATTACTTTCCAGAGAGGAAGAAAGGCCTAATAAAGCAGGAGGGGGGTGGGCTGTGCGGGGCCTGTCGCCATGGAGACGCAGGAAGCAAAGTGATCATTAAAACCTTTCTCCACCAGAAGGCAATTTTCACTTCACAGAGAGAAGTCTGAGCTTCTGAAACGTAGGGTTCAAAAAAAGAATCAAGGCTGGTGTTTTGGTATCCAGCCACTGGACGCGATTTCCTATGGGAGAAGCACAGCGTCCCCTCACAGATTAGGTTTTGATGAGAAGTTGCCGTTGCCTTTGGCAGAAGACTTGTTTTCTCTGAATGCGCCCCCCCCCAGATGGGGACCTGGACACGTTAAATGGTGGGCATCAAAATCTAGATGATCCCTGGGGCTGGGGCGGAAGGCAGGCTTTGTGGGGAGGGATTCCTTCACTTCCCTGCAACGCATAGGAGCTTCGCTCTCTAACTACAGAGAAAGACCTCGTAAAGGCAGCTCTGTGGGCACCAGGGCCCAATTTGACATTTTAAACAATAAAGCCATGCGAGGCTTGTAAGATTTCTTTGTTAGGACTGTTGACACTGTGTCATTTGGTCAAACTAAGGTACCAGCCGAGGAAATCCCTCCGCTTCTACATTTGGGAGGGTAAGTTGATTTCCTCGGAGTTTCAAGCGGAGCCGGCCATGAGCAGACCCTTAAGGCTTCAATTAATCCTTTTATTAGGAATCGGGGATTAAGCCTTCGGCACTCCATGATGGATTGGTTCTCTCTGTGTCGGAGATGCACATCCGTGACTGTTCCAATTATGGAAGTTGAGTGGCTCGTCACGAGAGAATCCTTTCCAGCTTCTTTTGTCTCCCTGGCAGTAAAAGGAAGCAAACTTGAAACGGAAATTATGGAGGATTTAGCTTTTTGGCTGTCTGTGAGTTGATGCCTCCGTGGGTGGGAACAGAGGGCTCGGCAGGTGGCTGGTGCTGGCCCACCAGGGAGAGGTGGCAGGCTTGGATGATTAAATGTTGCCGTGGGAGGGCAAACGCTGGAGTCAGTCTCTGGTTCAGATGGTCAGAATGGGACCCCGAGAGCAGATGTCTGAGGCGAAAAGTCTAGAGCATGTACCGTTCTGTGAGTGGTAGAACCTTGCTGAAGATATCAGGCAATTAAGTCTTTATGGATTGTGTTAAGCAGACGAGTTCTGGCAGAAAGAGAATCAGAATCTTCGAGTTGGAAGCAGCCCGGGAGCTGGAAGCAGGCAGGGTGGACCAGGGGAGCATTTTCTATGACTGCCTTGCCTGGTTGCCTTGGCAGGTGCTTGCATACCTCTTTTGATGGGGGACTCACTTCTTTATGTGGCAGTGCATGGTTCTCTTGGGGCAGATGTGTCTAAAAATTCTTCAGGTGGCTCATAGGAGTGTACAAGCCATCAGTCCTGATGGGGTCCTCTCATGGTGTGTGTTACTCGGGGTTTCAGACAGTCTGCTCTTCGAGGGCAGTTACCACACCGTTCTGACTCTGGGTTTCTTCACTGGGTTGAAAAGTCCCAGCCCTCATCTTGTCCTCCCTTCAGGACCTCTTCGTTTGTCTTCCTGCCGCTCTAAAGATCTACTCCTGAAAACTGAAGCCGGTGAACCAGCTGTGGAATAACCCAGTACAAAGTCAAGGAGAAGGGTCACCTCCTTTGGTCTAGATTTTGTATTTTTAGAAAACAGCCCAAGGTTGCATTTACTCTCCCTCCCCCCCCCCCCCGCCCCAAATGCATTTTTAACGCATCACTATGCTCTTAGTAAAAACTCAGGAACATTCTCGGAAAGGTAAAATATCCTTCAATAGGCACATAGTATACCGAGAATACATTTTTCATTGGATATTAGGCATTGGTGTTCTTTCCAAAGTTTACCCATCAGAGTCAACCTGGCTGTGGATGCCCAGGCAAAGCCTCCTTGTGCTTGTGTGTAAATTTCCCCTAGGGCGTGTCCCATCTGGTGGGATGTCAGGGCCACAGGGCACCCACATTTTCTTGTCGTGATATCGCACCCTGGAAAATGTGCCGATTGACATTCTTTCCAGAATCTCCGAGAGTGCCCTTTCTCTGCAGGCTTGCCAACATCTGAGGTCATCAATCTCCTTTTCCCCGCACGAAGAGTGACAAATGGTGGCTCATTGTGTTAATTTGTGGATCCTTGGTCGCTGGTGAGCGCGAGCAGCTTTTTGTGGCCTTATTAGTGCATTAAATCTCTCAGTGGCCACGTCTGTGGCCACGGACTGTGTGGCGGGCATGAACGGCTTTCCCCGAGGGCCCCTGCTTCCACTCTCTCCGCATCATTGCTGCGTTAACAATAATGTTGCATCTTCGCAAGACTCTTCTCTGTGAATCCCTGCTCGGTGCCCACAGGCACGGCCAGGCCTTCTCCCCCAGTTGAGCTGGAAACAAGGTGAGACGGCACCCCGTGACTTTTCATCCTTCCGAGGAGTTCCTACTCGCGGGCAGTTTTGCTAGGCTTTTTTCTGCCCCCCGCACCGAGAAGGTGGTCTGTGACCTCCTCCCTGTCCTCCTCCTCCCCTCACTGTCCCTATCCTGTGCCCTCGCTGGCCTTGCCCAGTGCCCCTTCCTGACCCTCTCTTCGCTCGGATTCTGCTGCGTTTCGCTCTCCTGGCTCCCTGCTCAGCCGTCTCCTCCTCCTCCTTGCAGCGGGCACACTGGGCGTTCCTGTAGGGCCCTCTGCTGACTTCTTTCTCCACTCCACACCCCTCCCCCTTTCCCCGATGCAGGACCAGAGTCCCCTGGGACTGCCGTTTGCACCCTTTCTGTGGGGCCTGGCTGTTTCCCTTTGTGAAGCTTCTGCTCCGGGGGCCAACCAGTGGGGGACCTGTGCTTTTGGGCAGGTTCCTCGGGCTTGACCCCCCGTCACGTTGGTGCCTACTCACTCTCTGCGGTGGGGGCCGCCCTGGGCCCTTAAGATGCTAAGCGGCATCCCTGGCCTCTACCCACTAGACGACAGGAGCTCCCCACCCCCTAGTTGTGACAACCAAAAATGTCTTCAGACATCTCCTGGTGTCCCCTGGGGGCAACGTCTCCCCGGAGAGCTGCTGATGTGGACCGTTGTTTCCTAGTGTGTATCAGTCACCTGGAGTCCTGTTAAACCCAGCGTTTCTGCTTCGGCATGTCCGGGAGGGGCCCTGGTAACGTGCATTTCCAACAAGTGACAGGGTGGGGCTCAGGTGGCCTCCCCTGGGGGATCGCTGAGTCCAGTGCTCAGCCATAGCCTCGGTCTCTGTGCCGACAACTTCTGCGTGTGTGTGTCCCCATCCACGTGTCTGTGCCCGTGTGTGTGACCACGTGGGCCCTGCCCTGTGTGACTCCTGAGCTCCAGCCCTCGGTGTCCCGCGGTCCCCTTCCCATCCTTCAGGTCTCGGGCTGATGTTGCCTCCTGTCCCTCCTTTCTGATTCGCTCGTGGTGCTCTTCACCTCCTGGGATCCCGGTGTGTGTCATCCGTGAGGACTGTCCCCCTCTAGGCCCGGAGCCCCGCACGGAGCTCCCACGCAGGAGGCTCCAGAGAGCATGTGTGGAATGCATGGGTGCAAGCACAGACCGCAGGCGTAGCTGACGAGGCTTGGGGCTGGCCAGCTGGACCGGCCTCTGTGCAGATCAGCTCGGGCACAGCCAGAGGGTGGCTGGGAGACCAGCCACGGCTCCCTTCTGCAGTCCTACTTCTGCCTTATTGCCTGGAGGGGGAGAAGCCTTTCGGAGCGTCCTGTGCCCTCCCGAGCTGCGGGCTGCCACACACAAGGACACGTCCCAGGCCACACTCTCGCTGGGAGTCGCGCTGGCCCCTCGCTGGTTGCGTCCTCCGTGCTCCAGCGGGCCCCCTTCCCCTCCTCCCAGGAGGAGTGCTCTTGCTGCTTCCAATTTCCCTGCCATCGACCACCGGGAGCCCCTGCCGCCTTCTGGCTGGACTGCTCGGTA